TCATTAATTTAAAAGAAACAAAACAAATTAATCAAAAAGAAAACATTGAATGAAAAGAGTGCAGAAAGAAGAAAAATCTTATATCTGCCCCTTATTTAAAAAATATAAAATATCTTTAAACAATCACTTAAATTAATCACTTTAATATCCACTTTAAAGCTAGGAATAAAAAGAAACATGTTTTGTGTTAGCAGAATTTAATTCTAACTTTAAAACTTATCCAACATTAATAAAACTTACCTCAAGTTGCCTTTTTGGACATGCATGCATATATTTGTACAAATTGTTCTTGAGAGGAAATTATTACAGCCTCATATAAAATCAATAATGATCATGATATCGGAACTGGATCGGTATCGGCAGATACTCAGATGTAGGTATCGGGATCGGATTGGAAGTAAAAAAAAAAGTGGATCGGTGCATCCCTAGCTGCAGTATGACTTTTACTGGCAGAATAAAAATAATAATGACTAGAACTGCAAGCAGTTATCACCGGGGTCTGAGCCACTCGACGTGTCGACCCTGTGCAGTAAAGTAATTTTGTGTTTCCCCAACATTTTCTTCTCCTGTATTTAAATATAGCTTCTTAAATGCTACCAGCTGTTAGGCTGAGATTAATGAGGTTTCTGTGAACAGGAAAATGAATCAACTTAGGGACCAGGTACGTCTCAAGATGTGTCAGGTGTTTGCTGGATTTGTTCCTGTTTGGTATTTGAGTGGAGTTTTGTCGAGGATTTATGAGCAGTCGGTGGCCATCCTTGAGTTGACAGTGATCAGAAGGAGCTCGGTTTGAAACTGAGCTAACCTTGACTCAGAGCAGGGCTCAGTCAGGAGTCAGTCTGACTTCAAAACAACTCAGAGTTACTTTAGTATTTAGAAGGAAAATTAAGTATTATACAAATAAGTATTATATTCCCTAATATTTGGATAGGAGTGAGTGGTGGTGCAGAGATTATAGAAGGTGAGCCTTTGATCAGAGTTGTTTTAATTTTATTTATTTATTTGTTACTGTTCAATTCAGTTTATTTAAATAACGCCAAGTCACAACAGGAGTCCTCTCAGGGCACTGAACAGAAACATTCATATTTAAAAATAATAATTTAACATTATTTATCTGAGGAGCAGACTGCTTTGAATTTAACTCCATCACAGACTCATCTTGAGCAAACATGAAGGTGACAGTGGAAAGGAAGAACTCCCTCATGAGGAAGAAACCTTTAGCAGAACCAGACTCAGGACAAGTGGCCATCTGCTTCGACCGACTGGGTTTGAGAGGAACGGCTACACAATGGCAGGTCAAGAATCACATGTTAAGATAGAAATAGTATCAAATGAAAACTTTTCAATTTTAACAATTCATTTAAGGAAATGAGGTCAATTTGTCCTCTAGTAGTCTAATCCTATAGCAGCATGACAAGCCAACCCTAACTATCAGATTTATCAAAAAGGAAAGTCTTAATCCCAGTCTTTAAACTGGACAATGTGTCAGCCTCACGGACAGAAACTGGAAGTTGGTTCCACAAGAGAGGAGCCTGACAACTGAAAGATCTTCCTCCCATTCTGCTTTTGGAAACTCTAGGAACCGCGAGTAAACCTGCAGTCTGAGAGCAAAGTGCTCTGTTAGGAAAATATGGAACAGTAAGATCTTGAATATAAGATGGAGCCAGGTTGTTGAGAGCTTTGTAGGTTAGAAGTAAGATTTTAAATTAAATTCTGGATTTGACAGAGAGCCAATGGAGAGAAGCTAAAACTGGGGAGATATGATCTCTCCCACTAACTCCAGTTAAGACTGGCAGCAGCATTTTGGATCAACTGAAGACGTTTTAAAGAAGTATTTGGACATCCTTGTTGTCTGTTGTCTCAACCAACATGTTTCTGTTGCTGCAGTGTTAAAAAAGGATGTTGTGCTCTTTATTTTACTCCCACTACTTTACTTTGTGTTACCATCTGCAGTTTTAAAACCGTTTTTAAATTGTTCTCTACAATTCAGTAGAATTACTTTTATACAATTAGTTATTTACTTTTACTTCGAAATGTTAAACTCACTGAAACCTGTAATGCTGTGTTTTATTCTTTGACTTTAATAATGACAAAATAATTTCCTTCACTCATGAAGCTATCCTTCCATTACAAATCACTTCTGTCTTTTCACCCACTACCTCTCTGGACTCTCTTCCACCTGCTCCCTGCTCTCCCTGCAGAATACAAATGGATAATTGAATAGAAAATTTAAAAATGTGGATTTTTGACCCCTAAAATATACATTAAGTTTTAGTTACTGATTACAGCCTTAATTCTGTATATAAAAATAAAAAATTTAGTTTGGAGTTAGTAACACTTCTTTTCATTTTGGTGTTTTATCTCTGATTAGGTAAATCTGTGGGCTCTTTGAACCTAGGCAAATTCTTTGCCTCTCACAAGGAATACACCCGTCAAGGCTTTGACCAGCTGAGCACTGAAGGCAGCGACCAAGAGAGGAATGTTGAGGACAGCAGCGACTCCGACAACGAGGAGTACTCCGCTCCACCTCCTCTTCAGTCCTCTTAGGAAGCCCGGAGCGACTTGCTGCTCTTCTTCTCTGATGTGGTTATTCACTGTATTTGTAACTGTTGTGTTTGCTGCCAACCTTGCTATTTAATGTATATATTTAAATGTGGTATAGTATTTAAAATGAACTTGCCAGTCATCTTAATAGTCTTGGTGACAAAAAAAAAAATAGTATATTTATATTTTTCTCTTATTAAAGTTGCTTTTATGGAAGCTATTAGCACAATGCCAACCTAACATTTAGCCTTAAAACAGGAAAAAAGTTTGCTAATGCAAAACAATCAATTTTTTAACTTGTTTTTTAATTTATCTGTTGTCTTATGAAAACAGTTTAGCAAAACCCAGCAGGTATTTTAGGGGAACTGGACACAGTTGATTATTTTGCCAGCTCTAACTCGTGTCGTTCTCTCATCGCAAAAGCAAAAAAAAAATTATTGTAGCTCATACATGCTCATTATTTTGCATCATTTTTTTTGTTGTTGTTGCATATTTTTATTGAACATGTTATTTTAGGAAAATTACCAACTCAGTTGTTTGAACTTATGACGTTTGTCCTTGTACATTTTGATAAAACGTTCCAGAATGGCTGCATGACGCTAGCTGATGTTTAAAACTTGAAGGTGGTGCCCACTTTATTGAAAACTACCATCAGCGTTTGGCTCCAAATTTTTTTTTCTGTACTTTGTGAGCTGTGCTAAATACCAAAACTGGACGTAAATGCTGCGTTATTTTAACAACATTTCAAAATCTGACTGAGATTTAAATTAAGCAAAAGTATTCATAAGTTTGTTTTTGTCATTTCAAGCATGCATAATTTCACAAGACCAATTATAGTGTAAAACCTAGTTACCCTTGATAAGACAGTGACTCAAATCCATGGCTTTATTTCAAAATGAATGTTTAGTTCACTTGTATCCATTTCTTCACCTGCCGTGTTTGACGTGCACAGTGCGAGAGGCGGGTGCACCTGGACAGGTCACTAGTTCGCTGCGGGCCTCAGCCCCTCTGAGGTCCAACAACATGCTTCTCAGACAGGATCCCAGTTGACGTGCATTTCACTTGTACTTCGGTGCCTTTTTTACGCCAGTATTTTAATTTTGTTAATGTAAGAAAATGAGAATTTTATTTCTCTGTAGTCCAAATCTTTTAAAACCGTAGCGTTGCTGCCGAAATAATCTTAGAAATGTTTACCGTGTGGCAAACAGCAGCTTCTTTATGAAGAACTGTATAAGCTGAGAATGTCTGTATTTTGACTTTATAAAGAAGTTGAATGAGATATTTAACCAATATGTTTTGTTTTTTTTCTTAACCACAGTTTAGGAATGTAGATCAGCAAAATGGAGCTAATAGTCATTTACATTTTAAACCTTATAAGCGTCCTCGGGCCATTTAAATTAGTTTATAAATGTTTTGTTTACATTTTTTAACATTAATGTTAAGTTTTAGGTCTAATGAGTTAAACTCATATTTTTGAAAACATTATTTATCTTAATTTGTGAAGGAAACAAGCGTCTTATCTCAGGGGGTTTTCCCACCACACCAGTTCCAGTGCTAAATCAGGGTCCGTTCTTGCTCAGTGCACTTCTTTGTGTTTTGACTTCCAGAAGCTTCTGTTGCCAACAAGTGCTGGAGCAAAACAAAGAACCCCTCATCAGGAGGCACACTCACAGAGACCAAACCCACTGGAAGTCTAGTGAGGGCCTCTGGCCTCTACATTAATAATAACTCAGATTAATATCAGGATAACCTGAGGGTCAATCATTTCTTCAGAGATGATGTGGGTCAAAGGTGGCTCTCACGCTGTGGAAATTAAAGCTGTTTTGACTTTTCTATAAATCTATAAAACCAGTAAGGAAGCAGCTGTAGCCCTGCTCTAGCACTTTGTTTAAATAAAAACTCATAAAGAATTAATTTAATGCACACATCATGAACTTAATGTGACACAGTGAAGGCTCTTCTATTTATCTTTTCAGCTTTTTATTTACAATTTTAATTCGTTTAATCAGTCTTTGACTTCCCGTTTTAAAATGTATTTCTGTGGTTTCTGATTTGTAAACCAGTGCATATGTTCATAGTTTCATGTGAAAGGATGATTTCTTCAAGCGCATGCCATCGATACGTATCTGGAGCTATGCTGTCTCATGTGGGCTACCTTATATTTGTGAGAACACTGGTTTTAGTGCAAGAGTACTATTTTCATTAACCGATGTATTTATGTAATAAAGTGTTTGCAAAGCATTTCTGTTTTATGGAAGTTGGTTAAATTGCAAATTGTCCATTATTGATTTTTGATTTAAAAAGCTAGGCAACTTCTTTTAGATATTTCCTTTAGGGGCCGCCACAGCAGATCATCTGCCTCCATCTCATCCTGTTCAATGATATTTCCTTTAAAAAAGTACAATTTAGCGAACAACTTAATAGATTGAGAGGGTGCTCATATGTTTTATATAATATATTTACAAAATACAAATACATACTGCGTTACATTATCTTACAGTCCAACTTACCTTTTAAATGTATGCCTTCTACCTGATACTGTGACCCATCCAGGGAGGAAAACATATATTACACAATATTTTACATGCAAATAAAATAATACAATATACAGATAAATATTTACCAGGTAGTTTTAACAAGAAAACAAATCCACAGTTCTTGTGAATCCCACCAGACCCCACTGAAACCAGTGGACTGCAGTTTTTGGAATCACTAATCGTTAACCCCCGCTAGACCAAAGGACGTTTAAATGACTGATCACATGGATCTTCAGTTTATTAACTGGAGTCAGATGAGTCTTTCCTCTGGTGGGACCTTCAGCATGTTGTCCATCTCCAGCCGGGCCCCAGCCAGTTCCTGAGCGCTGGGGTTATACGCCCCCTCTGACTGCCGCTTCTTCCTCGCTGTGAGTACCATGAAGGTCAGACAGACGATGAGGGTCACCATGAAGAGGCAGAGCGGTGGGATAGTTAACATCAGCCAGGGGCTCCCCGCTTTATAAGCATGCTTCTATGAAGGCACAAAAACAAGATGTGTCAGTGATGAGATTTATACTTCTTTGACTCATGTTAAAACTGGTGTCTGAAAACTGGATCTTCAGTCTAACAAAGTTAAGTCAGGTCCTCTGGACAGATTCATTAAAAATAAAATAAAAAACTTGTTGAAACCCAATAATGCACAGTCAGGTCATCTGGACAGTTTCTTTTTTGTGGAAAGATGTTTCGCCCTCTATCTGGAGGGCTTCATCAGTTCGAGGAGTCCCAAGTAAACTGTTTCCCCACCAAGCAGTACAAGTGGACCAACCAGTTTGTTGTAGATAAGATGGTTTCTGGGGGCTGTCCTGTCCCCCGTCAACTCCTCCCAGGCAGGCAGCCACAGCCAAAGTGGTTCAAGACATCAAAGTTGAGCATTATTGGATGATCGAGCATGAACTTTGATGTCTTGGCCAGCTATCTCAAACTTCTACTGGTTGTTCATGTGAACGAGAAGCTCTGCCCCCCACCCCCATCACTCCCCTCCTGAGGACACCTGTGGATCTGTGTCAGAGTTGAGCCGGCTGATAGACACTGCACCATCTTTATCAGGACTATGGAACTGTCTGGCGGTCTCCACGGACGACTCACTGCCCTCGTCAGCCTCCTCATGCATAAATGTTTTAAATGTATCATGATGTCATCAGTATGTTGCTGCTTCATTTGCTGAGGTCATTTTTTGCCATGTCTGGTTTGTTTATGTTTCTCTCGGACGGGCTGTACTGAAATACAGTTTCCTTGTGCTTCGGTGCAATGACAATAAAGCTGATTCTGATTCTCTGCTGGTTCCTGCACTGGATGCGCTCCCTGTCCCTGCTGTCCAGAGGGCTGAGGCAGACCCTCCTTCATCTGATTCTGTTCCTGCTGTCTAGAGGTCTCAGAAAGGTCTGCATCCACCAGGTCTAACACCTGAGGTACCAGAGTAACCCTGCCTGTCAGCTCCAGCTGTCAAGTGGGTTCTGTCAGATACCTCTATGCTGATTCCTGTTGTCAAGGAGATTGAGACAGACCTGCCTCTACCAGATCATTTTTCTGTCTTCAAAAGGGTCCCAGAGGACGTTCTCGTCTTGTTTTGATGTCCAGGGCTGGCCCTTAAGGATCCAATCCTCCTCACCCTGTTTCTGTAGTCAGGACAGTCCAGCCAGCCTCCACCCTCCAGATACCTGTCCCCATTTATTTATTCTACAGATGTTTCAGTCTTTCTTTACGATCCTCAGAACTGTTTTTGATATGATAAAGAGCATCACATTTTAAATTTGTCAAATGTTTCTAAACACAAAACAACTGAACACACCTGCCTCCCACCCCCCAAAACTAAACACTTTTTTTTTTCTTGGTTATGTAAAGCAAGTATTGTGGGTAAAAATTCAAATAAGAAAAATTTGTAGATTTTGGTGTTGTCTTTTCTCAAAATTGTGTTTATGTAATCCTAAAAAGATACACAGAATTATATTTTAAAAAGCCAAATGTACATACGTTACTATCGCAGGTTGGACCACTGTAGCCAGGTGGGCATTCACAGAAAAACATGTTGTATCGATCCAAACAGGATCCACCGTTCTGACAAGGGTTGGACTCACATTCATCAACCTCCGTTTCACACCTACAAGAAAGAAATGTATAAAAAGTACGTCAATATATCAGCCACAACGGTTTTAGACACCAAAATACTTATATTAAAGACCTAACAATATGAATAGCCTAAAAACTTTAATACCAATGTTTTAATGATCAATCAAATAATCAAAGACTTCCAACTAATCAAAAATCAACTTATTGGTTGTTGAGAAATGATGGAGTTTTAGCCATTTTGGTCAAACTTGAAAATAATCAGGTGCAACCAAACTTGGGTTATTCGTTCAATATTGGGAGAAATGGCCCAATATTGTGCACTTGACATATGTGTTGTACTGACTCAAGTTGCTGCAACAAATTAGTCGTTTTTGGCGATGGCTAAGGTCATTCAGTCAGTTCAAGATGTAGTGGCCATCTTGAATTAAATTTACGTCTTACATACATACTTTTGTAGTAAATATGGTGCAAGAGATACCAACATGTTCGTAAAAAAAGGGGGGAAAAAATTGTCCAAATTTTTTTCTCACTCAAACACAGCACTGTACAAATCCTTCATCGCACAACATTTTATAAACTCTGGTCTTCAAATAAAATAAAAACTTGCTCTAATATTTTTTGCTTTAGTTGTTCTAGAGATGTTTACACTCCTGTATCAATTTAACTTTTAACGCAATTATCTTCTCCAATACGGATCATGGCACAAAGTGACAATTAACTCGGCTGAAATAAAGAAAAACATTTGGCTTAAAAAAAAAAAAAAAAAAAACTCCCTCTCCAAAAAAGATTAAAAAAAATAAACAAGCAGTACGCCAATGTCCCCTGTCGCTGAAGGATTTGAGTAGTGAATGTTTGTAGTTTTAGAAATTAGTATTGGGCGACTAGGTGGTGCAGCTGGAAGAGCAGCCGCCTCTCAGTGAGAAGGTTGCCAGTTCAAATTCTGGCTGGGGGCCTTTCTGGGTGCAGTTTGCATGTTCTCTCTGTGCATGTGTGGATTTTCTCCGGGTACTCCGGTTTCCTCCCACAGACCAAAAACATGCATGTTAGATTGATTGGTAACTCTAAATTGTCCTTAGGTGAGAGTGTAAATGGTTGTTTGTCTCTTTGTGTCTCTGTGATGGACTGGAGACATGTCCAGGGTGTCCCCTGCCTCTCACACAGTGACTGCTGGACATGGGCACCAGTGACCCATGCGACACAAAAAGGAAGAAGCGGGTAAAGATAATGGATGGATGGAAAAGTTTCTGGGCTGGAATCAAGTAAACCTTAATGTTTTTCGAGCAAGATATTTAAGTGGGCAGGAGTTACACTGTGTATAAGAATAAAGGCAGGTTATTTATCTATTTATTTATTTTTTGCTTGTTCGATGCAGAGAAGAGTGATGGATCCTGGTGAGCAGTTTTATCCATGGCCAGGCACAATGGCAGAAACAGGAAGTGGTCAGTGGCGGCCTTGGCCATCGTAGATTAATCTTTGGCCACCCCACTATCCACCCCACTGATGGCACCACACACCAAAATGGAAGTCATTATCTCACTTATTTTTCAAGTTACCATGCACACAACACAGACAGATATTTATGGTGGCAGCCTTCTTAGATTTTGACTGACAACCTTATTTTTGAAAGCAATCTTTCTTGCGCCTAAATGTAGCCACACACCAAAATGAAAGTTGGGACATCACTTGTTTTTTTTCAAGTTATACTCACAACATGCATGGATGGAGGGTATTCCCAGTGTCCCCTCTTTGCTCCAAGACAGGGATAAAATAATATAAATAAGGTAAATATTATATAAAAAAGTGGTTTTACCTGCTGCCTGTGAAACCTGCCATGCACGTACAGTTGGCTCCCCACAGCCCATCATGGCAGATTCCATCATTTGCACACTGGACATCTTTGCCACACTGTTTTGGAGGATATTCCCACCTAATGAAAAAGATTTCAAGACCACATTTCTGTTTTCTATTGTACAAAAGTAAAGCAATTTGAGATACTTGCTGTGTTTTGTACTTAATTTTTAAAACATTTTTGTACTCGTTCTTTTGTTCATTAAGAGCAATGCAATGTCTGATAAACACTTAACAAAACAAAACTGCCACCTGTAATTATCTTGAGAATACCACCCCCACAGTAAAGCATAATTCATCTTTTTACTGTTACTAATGTGCACGCTCATAGTCGGGATTCTGCTTTGCAAAATTGGGTCTTGCGTACTTTTTTGCCTACCAGTTCATTGGAGCACACGCTATAACCATGTAAAACACCAGTAAAACTAATATTTAAATGTGTTTGTATGTAAAAGTTTTGTAAAAAGCAGCTAAAAGACTAGTCGAACAACGACTTTGAATGTAGGAAGTAGTTATGAAGGACTTTGAATGCAGTGCCCGATTTTACCCGTATGAATTAGTAAATGTAGAAAGTTCAGTGGTGGTAGCATCATGGTGTGGGAATACAACTTGAAAAATCTGGAGCAGTTTTGTCATGAATGGGCTAAAAAAGTATCGATTTGGGAGGGCTGGGAGTTAGTTTTGCCACTCACTGTAGGTTTTTGGCCCGTTTGGCGCTGTCCTGTCATCCATATATTTACACAGCATATTCAAAAAACGAATGAAGTGAACACTCACTGGCAACGAGGGCCCCTGTAGTCCTTTGGGCATACGCAGGTGTACATGTTAGGTCCATCCCGACAGGTTCCTCCATGTTCACAAGCATGATGCTCACACTCATCGATATCCTCGTCGCAGTGCAAGCCAGCATAACCAGGGTCGCAACGACACTCAAAACTGGCTAAATGGTCCGTACAGCTACCATACACACAAGGCTGAGATGCACACTCATCAGTGTTCGACTCGCATTGCTCTCCCTCCCAACCAGCTTGACAGAGACAGCCAAATTTATTGAAGAGGTCCTCACATGTGGCTCCATTTAAACAAGGATCTGAAGCACAAACTGGGGAACTGGAGCAGCCTAGACGAATCTTGGTTTTTCCAGTTAAATAAAACTGAGAGGTCTGTGGAGCTCTACTAGCATCTGCAAAAGGCAAATAGATCCCTTCAAGCCTCACTGCACCCAGGCAGCCGGTAAAACTCTCTGCTACAGTAAGTATGACCCCCTTCTTATTGAGAAAACCAACAGGTCCTGTGCGTCTGGGCTTGCTGGTGGCATCTACAAGTCCATCAACAGTGATGACCCAAGGGGAAGATTTTTGTTTTTTATCAGCCATAGAAATGTTAACGTGGTGCCAGCGTCCATCAGCCACTTGAAACATCCCTTTGAAGGTCAACGTCTCAGCGTTGTTGACGCTGTGAATCTCCACCCAGACTGAGAAATCCACCAGACCCACAATCAGCAATTCAGAGCTTGAGGTGGCCCTTAGGAGCACAGCATTCTCCGATCGAGTCCGCAGCTCAATGTAAATGTAAGAGATGGGTTCTGCCAAAGAGCCTCCGGTGCTGTACTGCACAGGGTTGTTTTCAAATGTAGCATTGTGCAAACCTGTCAACAAATGTTAAGAAACATCAAGGGCTTTGTTGCAGGGATTGAATATCGTTCATCAACAACTGAGCCTTACATTGTACTAGCATTAATTGTTACTGATCATTGATTGCATCATTTTCTCACTACCAGTAGTTACTCAGGGTCTGTACCAAAAACAAACTGCACACTCCTTGCTGCCTGAGACTGATTACAAACATGCTAACTATACACGGCATTTCTTGCCATTAATGAAAAAGACTCCTGTTGTTGAAAACTTTAAATAACAGTCTTGATTTCTTACATTCATAGCCATCGAGAAGATCCACGCACTGGCCGCCATAAACACAAGGACTACTCACACACCACATTCGTGTTTCGCAGGTCTTTCCCGTATATTGCTCCAGACAAGAACAAGCAAAATCATTGAAAGTAATGATGCACTTTCCTCCATTTTGACAAGGATTGGACTGTAAAGAAAAGCATAAGGATTGATTGATGGATGGATGGATGGATGGATGGATGTACTGTACAGATGAACTGATCTATGAACTGACAAGTTAACAGCTAGTTTGAGACAAATTAAAACCAAAGTGGATCAATTAATGTTACTGCTTATACTTTGTATATATATATATATATATATATATATACAAAGTATA